TCAGTCACCTGAAATACCACTGCAATGCTACACACCTAGAGGTCGCTGAGATCCCACATGTGTTGTACTGGGGATAGCATCATGAACTTCTGGAGCAAACCACAGGCCACCAGCACTTGAGCTAAAGGAGAATTCTCTGCAAGTGTGGCTATAAGAGTTTTACCTTCTATATAACAGCCACTAGGGAGCATGTAGGTTGATACTATTTGTATTATCATACTGCCTAGGAGCCCCAGTCATGGACCAGGACCCTACCGTGCTAGGTGCTGTACAAAAGGACAAAAGGACATTTCCTGCCCCAAAGAGCTTACAATCTAAGGAGGCAGACAGATACATAATGTTTTCCTATTGAAAGGTTTTACTTGTGTAATTTCAGTTAGAAGTGATGTTAAACCACTTAGGACTCATCTACACGGGGACATCCAGGAAAGTTAGTCTGAAGGAACTAAAGGTGTGAATTTGAAATGGATTAGTTACACCGCATTAAACTCCCGTGTAAACACCCTCATTCAAAATTATAGTGGCCTTAATTTGGTTTAGTAACTAAATGGAATTAAGGCCACTTTTAATTCTGAATAACAGCATCCACACAGGGATTTAATGGGATTTAACTAATCCACTTCAAATTCACACCTTTAGTTAATTTGGAGTCTTACACTTGCCTAATATATCAAATAATTAGACACGTGAGTGCAAATTGGTCTTTATTCCACAGGCAATAATGTTCACGTCTCTCTTCCCTCCTACCCCCTCTCTATCAGGCTGTTGTTCAAATGGAAGGTGACAATAAACTGGTCACGAACTTGAGCAAAATCAAATCCATCACTGAAATAAAGGGAGACATAGTCACCAATGTAAGTATAAGAGGTTATATATAACATTAGAAAAATGTCATCACTTACAACATGAGACTATGGCGGGTGTTTCTAATGGAGACCAGCAAGAACAAGTAGCTATCAGCATAGACTACTGACCCAGAGTACTGGTTTATACATGGGCCAGAACTTCCACAGGTATAAATTGGCATAGTTCTACTGACTTCAGTGGAGCTATGCTGATTCCCACCAGCTAAGCATCTGGCCTATTAGGTAGTAATGTATGAGAATCAGTTCTTTTAAATATATCATGTACAAGCGTGTGCGTAATTTGGCCTTTTGTTAATGACCAACATCTACCCCAGGTGCTTAAGTTTGGCTGGTCAATCAAGTGGCCATTTTAGGCCATTTTCAATGAGAATATGCAGTACGCTACATGCTGTACACCCTTAATTATCCAACGGGCATTGGGGGCACTGAAAAGTGTGAATAATCAAGGTTTCAGGTAAGTGAAGAATGTTTGCACTCTCATTGTAGTAGAAGTTGTGTAGTAGAAGTTGGCATGACCAGAGGAGGCTCAGATGACTGGTTTCAAATAAGCAAGGTCACACTGGACACACACATTTTAGAGTATTTATTAATATAGTTAAAGGATTAGCAGTGCAATTTAAAGGAGATACAGTTGGTTGGCCTTGGGCCCCACCCTGAAGTGTGGGTCTCTGGTCTGCGGGATCAGGGCCTTGATATGTGTGATATTTGCAGGCTACTTCAGTGAAAGACTAACGCTTTGTGCTTTTGATTTGGTTTTTAGATAATGACCCTGGGAGACATCAGCTACACGCGAATCAGCAAGAGAATCTAGCTATCCTGTGCATTTCCTATACTGTGTAAAGTGTGCCCAATAAAGTACAGTTTGTATTAAAGCACCTTTGTTGTTGTTATTATTATTATTATTTTATTATTAGCATCCTCCTTGTCATTGGTGGCAATGCTGTGATTCACAGATGCCTATTGTTAAGAGCTGTATTGGCCGCAGTTTCTATCCATTTTCCTAGTGAACAGCTATCCATATCACAAAAGCCACCACCACAATTGGCACAAACTGGCTAGCAAGTTCTACACAGCTGATTGGCGCCGCAAGCCTGGGAGGCGGGAGAAGTGGAGTGGCAATTGCGCGCTCAGGTAGGGGGCGTAGCAGAGATAAGCTGGGGTGGGGAGCTGCCGCACGGCTCCTCAGGCCAGGGGGGTGGGAAGCTGCCACGGGGGGGGGGGGTGCCTCAGGGAGGGAGGGGCGGGAGGAGCAGTCGCAGGGCTCCCCCACCCCAGCTCA